ATATTTCAATCCTATAAATTTACATTTATAACGTACTTTACGAGCGTCCACAAAATGCACACACTCTAGCCAGGTGTTAAGGAAGGATTGTCCACACACAGCGCATTCACTAGCGTACTGCAGCATCTCTTGTACCTTGGGATAGTGACGCACTGCACGCTTAACAAACGATCGCCTGCACAAGAAAAACGAAGACGGTATTAAGATAAGAGTTTCGAAAACCAAAACGAGAGCATACAACTACGCAAAAAACGTAAGGAACCAATGAAGACAAGAAGCAAACCGCGGGAAAAGGCGTTTGACCAAGTCGCAATTTATATTCCGCTTTCATCTGATTGGTTGCGCAGGCAGCGCTAGGTTTTTTCAGCCAATCAGAGAGCGCAGTAGAGTAAAACGAAATACTTTCGATACCAAATTGAAAACTGCCCTAGAGGGTCCCTAAACCAATGCCATTAATCGGATTACTTCTCCTTAATCCTGACAAAACAATAACTGTTATAAAGAAACTCTTACCCGTCTTTGAGTTCCTTCAATACACAACGAGCTGTAATCTCCTAAGATATAAAAAATCAATGACCGTTAACATCACGCATCTTTCCAATTTTCGTTAATGTTCCGCTAGATGTTTCAAACGCCCTGATAAAAATCTTCTACAACACTCCCAGATATCAGTAAATCTCCCAAAATTCCTGGTAAAAGTTTGTTACTCCCCTAAAAAAAGGTTTACGTCAAACATTACATTTCACGATTATCAAACTACAAACTCTGTCAACAACAAAACAAGTTCCCAGACGACAAAAAGTAAACCATCTCTCAGAAGATTGATTTATTCCATCTTACTACATGGGCGACCTGCTCACCTTTAATGTCAGCACTTCATCTTCCTGTTGTGAATGAACAGGGATGTGCTGTAAAAGGTTGTTTTCCTCACAATACAGTTCCTTTAGAGGAAGATGTGCCAGCTGATAGAACAAAGCAGAATAAGTTATTGTAAGATTTGTAACTTATGCCCCTGTCAAAGAAAAGAAAAATATGACACTGGTTGAAAATAACCATGAAATTTCAACCTGTCAAAAATGAAGTAGTATAACTTACAAAAATTCAGGCAAACCCTTCTGGCCTTCATTAAAATAAATTGGAAACCTCCCATTATAAGGCAGACATCTCTCATAAACCAACACTAAGTACAACAATGCATTTTTTTTTATCTTCCTATCAGTGACCACTTGTTCTAAGTGGACACCCAATCATGATCCTCTTCAAACAACAGCACTTCATTTTACCCTCCCATAAGACACCTCTCTGAAGTTCACGCTTTTCTGGTCTCATGATGAGACATGCCATGACTTGACAGTGTCCACTTTTCAGAGGTTTGATTGATTGTTTCTATTCTACTGCTTTAAAGCTTCATTGGATGACAAACTGAGCCCAATCCTGTAACCAGATTCAGATTGGGTTCGTTTAGATCTAATATCAAATGACTAATGATAAAATGATTAGAAAACAGCCCTAAGAAAATACGCATGCTGATTGGTTAAAAGTCGTGTTTCTATAACTCAGTGGAAACATGGAACTAGAACGAGCTGTTGACGTAATGATGGCACATGCAAAGAGAATTTACATTTTGATGATCAAAGTAAACAAGTTGTTTTCCATAGAAGACATGTTCTCTGTGTTTCTATCGAGTTATAGAAACACTTGTGAAAGTTTGGGAGAACTTCAAAAAGCTGTGGAAACACTTGCCTGCGGCTCGTGTTCCCACAGCATTTCTCATTCTCCCAAACTTCCCCTCATGTTTCTATGACTCGATAGAAACACGGCACAGGTTTTCTATTTCTTAATTGTTAACAGACCTCAGCAGGGAATATTCTGAGTCTGTTGGCTGACACATCCAGAACCCTGAGCTGGGTACATTTTGACAAGCCCTATCAAAACAAGACAGATATACAGAGAATGTTGTATAAGTACTAGAAAGATCCATCTGCAAATGATATGAGTACACTAGCAAACTTTAAAATCAACTGTTTTATGAGATACAAGGTTATATCAAACAAAATCTTTGCCCTGCAAAAAGGATATCTCCTTTTTAGTTGGAAAAATTCAACCTGAGAACAACAAGATGACACTGTAATAGGGGCAATCAACAATGGGTGGCTTAAGTAGCGACTGAGTTCTCTAAATATACATTAGTCATCTACAAATAGGTTGACGACAACAGTTAAATTATTTAGAAGGCCTAACCTCTGGTAACTCCTCTATAAAGTTTTTGTACACATAAAGTTTGGTGAGGTTCCTAAGAAATGCCATGTCTTCTGGAAGGCTATAATTGAACAAAAAGAAAATAAGCGAAAGTATGACCAAATAATTAAGACATTTCCCTTGCAACATGATACACAACAATGTCGCAATGCAAGCTGAAATACATTTTTACCTATATTATCAACAATTTGTGCCACGTAGGAGCAACATGTTGCATCAACAGTTGAATCACAACTAATTTCTACCCTGGCTTACAGAGGCATGTCACACTGAAACTTTATATTGTTTCTGCAGGGTTTGTACTTGCCTGGGTACCCTGGCAGACCTCCAATTCTTTTTAAGTTCTGCACTTTTTCAATTTTAGTACATTCGTGGAGTTGGTACATGTACTCCTAAGATCAAATTTTAGCATGATGATTGAATTGTGAGTAAAGTATTATATACCTTGATATTTGGTTATCGGCAAGATGCAGCTCTGTCAGGTTGATCAAGTGACAGATCTCTGTTGGAACACTTTGAAGGTGATTGTGATTCACGCTAAGAAACTGCAAGGATACCAGCCTGAATACAGTGAAGATTACAATAAAACAGAATTGAAACCCAAATCTGAACATGTTAAATAGTGTGATAATTAACTTTTGAGGACTCATTTTCACAAAACTGATTTGTGAAAACGTAGAAAGAAACACTATAAGACAGAGGTCATTGCTCTCAAGATCAACAACAGCATACCAGATGATTTTAACCAAACAACTATCTTCCCTTTAATTTCAATTTAAAATTAGATCATACCAATTTGGTCAGTGTAGAACGCAGACTGTGGACTGCAAAATGCAGACCAAAGGTTAAATGCACACAGCAGACAGCAGACTTTTTAACTGAATCGCATTGCCATTTCTAGCATTGAGAGCTAACTGTAAACACGCTAATCAGAGCATTATTCGGGCTAACCAGGGTGATATTCCGGCTTACCAAAGTGCAGACTTTCACTATGAGTAGCCTGAATATCCCTGTTTATGATTAGCACTCAATAATGGAAAATAACACAATATTTACTTAAAAAGTCTTTAGTGTGCAGTCTGCATTTTACCCAAAGTCTGCTCTTTACCCCAAGTCTGCAGTCTACAGTCTGTGTGTCATGCTGACCGGATATCAACTGGGGAGTTGAAGGACAATGAGCATGAAAGGCAGAGTTAGGATTCTGGTGTAATTAATTTTAAAATTTTCCATAAAAATGATCACCTGTTGATTTCACTTGGCAAGGTATGTAGCTGGTTTCCATTCAAATTGAGAAATGTGAGTTTTTGAAGTCCACCTACACGAAAGAGGAACACAACAGGATCAAATTCTGCCATAATTATAATAATTATTGTTAACCTCCACAAAATACCTGTATCTAACCATGCAAGGTCATTGGGAATTCTGAGAAGAAGGAATGTATTAAATCAAAGGAAGTATAAAGTTAAACTTCAATTCCCTGAGTGACAAGGAGAGGGATTTAAACCCAAAATTTTCAATGCGAGTAGTATGAAATACTTTCTGGAAGACTAGAGTCCAATTTCCTAATTTAATAACTACTGATAATTGACATTCAAAATAGGTTGTGCATGAAACAACCAGTGGAGTGGCATATTATACCCATCCATCTAGCTCTCCACTCCTAAACACATGTAAATTATTGTTATGGATACTGGTCACATGCATAACAGTTGTTGATCAGTAAAATAATACATGTACTAAGTAACAACTGATTAATGAAAGACACTCCACAGTTCTCTGGTAATATGTAGAGCGCATGTCTGGCGTGTCTCGAAAACCTGAATCGTCACAATAGTAGCAAATTGTCATATTTAGCATTTACCATGAATAGTGCACCAGTTAGCCTAACTGCAGTACTGTTATGCTACCCATACCGCTTTTGGCTAACCGTGACTAATTGCCACTATTTGTGACAATTCACCACGGGTCAGTACATTTCACTGACTCCCAGTCCATGGACTACCATGATGGGCTACAGAAATAGACCACTCTAAAATGGATTACCTAAATGGACTAGCTCAACGATCACATGGACTACCAAAATGCAATTCTCAGCTTTTTTGTTGTTACCAAAAGAACCCAGTCAAATGCAGCACATGCGTAGTAAGTCAAAAAATTGCGATTGAATGCAAAATTGCTTTCTCGGAAGTACGCCTTTTTCTCAAGAGCCACTCATCAGAATTTCACGAAATTTGGCACAAAAATCCTTTAGGAAATAAGTAACTGGAGTATCGAAAAAAATTGAACTTTAACAAAGGAAATTCTGGATATTCCAGTGA